ACAAAGACATAACACTTCTAAAGAGACTGTTCTCTAGAAAATTCAAACAATTTAAATGTGATTATTATACAATTATGTTAGTCATAATTAATTTCGAGACAAAAATATATGATCCAAAGTCCACTAAAGACCAGAACACGATGTATACCTACACTTTTTTTATGTTTTTTTTTTTTTTGAGAGTTTTTTTTTAGTCGCCTTTACATTACCCTAATAAACTAAACTTGTACTATACCTTAATTCATGTTTTCTACAATATAATTATAATCTGCTTTAGATTTGGTTTCTTCAAGAATCAAGTTCAATGTCAAGAAAAAAATAATCACCTTGTTTTACAAACAATGCTTTTCTGTAGGTGAATAATATAATTCAATCGTAAATGTTTCATTAACAATTTAGATAAAAGGAAAAATATAATATTTCCTGTGTACCACTGAAAGTTCGAATGTATTTTAGCCAAAATAACGTGATTTCAAATTCCGAACGCGATCGATAATGCGTTTATTGATTCAATGTTAGGCAGGTCCTAAATTGGTCAAGGATATAGCAACCTCTAAATCAAGGGTTTTATACAGGTATTGACTTTTTTGAACTGAATTTAAGCAACAAGAATGAATTTAACAGAGACTTGTCTTAAAATAAAAACAATAATCTGATAACATTTATAGAACCTTAATAAACTTATAGCTGGTAAACATGCAAAATGAAACAGCTACAGAATAATTGTAGTACTAGTTGTAAGAATAAAAATAAAGTACTTACTCCATTGAAGCAACACAAAACAGCCCTTAAATTAAATGTAATAAGGGTAAAAATAAGTCACCAAAGCGTACATAGCACTATGCTTCACTATGTAGCTACTTAAGATAAAATTCAAACTTACACTCACATTGAGATCTTTGAATGGATGAATTAATATACCGAGTGGCAGTCTGGACTTCTGCAGCAGATTGTTCGTCTCTGGGATACGATTTATTGTACATCTGAAGACTCTGCAAAAATTGTCATCACATTAAAATGTGTTTATAAACAAACTGATATTGAGTTGAGTCATCCAAATCCTAATATTATTGGTATATTATTTGTTTGTGTTGTGTTATTATTATAAAAGCATATTATGCCTGTCTAGTATTAAAATATAAATTGAAATTATCAACTTTATCACATAAGAAATTAATTATTCATATTTGGCGCAAGTAACAACAGTTTACACCATACTTTTGTCATTCCTACCGTAGTTATCAAAGCCATTGTTCAAACAAGTGCCATATGACCTTCTAATAAAAATACGTGAGTTTAATCATATCACAGATTTCTGATTATGCAAGACTACATAGTAGACAGCATTTTATCTGCCCCCTGATAACATCCTCTTTTGTGAGTAAGTTAAACTAAATGAGAGGCAATTGGCCAATCAAAATAGAAAAAAAAGGTCTGTGAAGTGACACACAATGCATGCATGCCTGTACTCAGCAAACAATGGAATGTAGTCACTAAATAAATAATATAATATGGATTGTATGATAAACACAATGCAATTATACTGCATTTGAGTAATATATAATATTTTAATTCAAGATTTCCCTGTTAAGAACAAATATTCTTAATTACCAAGTAATTTTAATTGTTAAAGATATCATATATTTCAGGCAGGTTTATATTATGTCTATTTTATCAATTCAACCAATAATAGTTTGAATAAAAAGTTGATAAAAATACATGAATATAACAAATTTGTTAATTATATAGTTTCCTTTAATTGAATTATTCATAAGCATACAAATAAATAACTCGTAAGATAAGGTAATGTATTTAAACTGGGCTTAACATAACTATTGTGGGTTTTGTGGTAAAAGGAAAACTATTTTAATGCCTTAAAAGACAAGAAACATTTTTATATCTACAGAATAGAGCTGTGTAGAGTTTCAATTCTATCATAAAAGATAAAGAAACTGCTATACATTAATTGCCTTTTTTCTACCAACTATTTTATCACTCAACACATATATGCTCATGGATAACTAACCATTGACTTATGAAAGTAAAATTAAGTACTTACTCTGGGCTGCAGTTACTTGAATCTGCAAACTGGTGCGCTAATTTGATCTCCGGCGGATCCTCGGGATATTCAGGCAATATATGCTTACACTGCAATAGGTCTACCATATGATGACCCCATAGCTGGTCAAACCCTTGTTTTGTCACACTCAGTTGCCCCATTTGTTGGGTCAAATGTTGTTGTGGAAACTGCTTCATTATATTTGCTTGTTGTTGACTTAAGCTTGGTATTGGAGGAGCCTGGTGATTGGGATAATTCCCAGGTGCTGAAGCCATTTGCGGATATCGGTTTTGCATGTTACTCTTTGGGGCAGCTCCTGTTTGAACTATAGGTCCTGGTGGGGGCCCCATCTGGTGTCCCATTGGCGGTAAGCTCTGCTGTCCCATAGGAGGCATTTGAGAACCAGCTGGGGGATTTTGTTGCCCACTGAAATTGCCAGGAGGAGGCATATGCCCAGAAGGTGGTCCTGATACACCTGTAGGCTGGACAGGTGGAACCACAGGTGGCCCTGCTGGACCATTCCTGTATTGTCCTGGGTATTGCTGAGGTGGTGGAGCTCCTGGAGCCATTGGAGGTCCACTTAAATGACCCATTGGTGCTGGTGGTTGCCCCATAGCTGGAGGTGGCTGTCCCATAGGTTTAGGAGGACCAGGGGGCATTACAGAGGGTCCACTTACATTAGGACCATTAATTCCCACTTGCCTGGGAGGACCCTGAGTTGGCGGTGGTCCATTAAATCCTTGTATGCCACTTGGTGACCCACTTACTGGTGGTCCTGGCACCAAAGGGCTATTCCGTGGAGGTCCTGATGAAGGTGCACCAGAAAATGGAATTGGAGGTTGGCTTGGCATTGCAGGACCAGGAGGTTTTGGAACCTGTCCAGGTGGAGGGGCATAGGGTGTATTCATCAATCCAGGGCCATAACCTGAACTTGGTGGCTTGCTTCCAGGAAGAGAGCTATAACCACTTGATGATACAGGGTACTGGCTTTGTGGATGTCCAGTTGGGGGGTGTGAAGAAGGTGGACCATTCACAAGAGGTTGGCTTGTTTGACTAGATGGAATAAGAGGTGGAGCATTGTCATTAATCTGACGCTGTGGGGGGTGATAGCTTGGAGGATATGGGACAGGGGAAGAATTAGCATTGGGTACTGTTCTAGGACTAGCTGAAGACAGTGGAACATTTTGAGGAGGCAAAGGATTGGGTAAAGAGCTGGTAGCTGTAGACATAGGTGGTCTCATAGGTGAAGATTGCAAATTAGGCTTCAATGGAGGTGGCATCATCCCAGGTTGATTAAAAGCAGGTGAACTACTAGCACTCTGGCTATAGTTGTTGACATTCTGTAGCACATGATTTTGAGCTGCAGGCGACGGTGCGTGTAGAGGACTATTCGAGTTTGGATCCTGTTTTAGTCCTCCATATCCAGGCGGTAATTGGCTCACTGGCACTTGACCAAACTGTTGATTATGGTTAAATGTCGGAGGTGCTGTATTCGCGTTCATTTGAGGCGATCCCGGAAAGTTGTTATATGGATTTGGTGGTAAATTGGACATGGCTTGTCAATCTGGAAAGATATAGCCTGCGTTCTAGAAAATATCGTCAACAATATAATAACAAAGACTTTAAGATCCGTTTTACGGAAATGATGTTATGTTTATATTGAGATAAAAATGCTGATATCGACAAGGATTTAATTAAAACATGCTAATTCACTACTACAATGACGGATGGGCGATGGAAGGCCAGAATTGAATACCATCACTTACCGCAGTCAGGACTAGGTACAGACAAAAATATATCACTACCACTTGTGTATTGTTATACCATTCTCACATATTATCACAGCATGTAAAATAATGTAATTAAAATGTCCAATGAAGAAAAATACGACCCTGACTTACGTGGCCGAGCAATTTAGAGCGCCCTCTGGATTGATTTTTTGACATGTCACGTCAACTAGTGACGTGATATGTTATTATTACTTTAGTCGATTCTAAACAGCCGATTATTAAATCTACTAATACTGTAAATTGTATTCGGATGATAATATGAAATTAATTATTGGTTTAATTTAATAAAAAAATAGTGATGTGAAACGTGATATTAAAGTTTCATAAACTCGATACCTTTATGCTATCGAAGTGACATCCAAAACTTACGAAACAACTAGCGCCATCTATTGCAAGCCTTGCTTACTTTTAAGGCTTGCAATCTCATACAGTCATGGTCGTAATTGTATAAATGTATATTAACGTCTATAATGGGTATATTTTCCTTGAATAACATGGTATTTCATCTGATACGTTTGTGTAATTTAGAGAACACACTAAAAATACTTTATGTACGTTCGTACGTTCTATTGTTGTCACGCGTCACCCATCAAGGTAGGCATTCACGCTTGCTCGTTATATAGAGTTCTTTAATTAACACATAGCTTGCTCGTCGATAGAAGGTACTTTCAACTGTTGCCTTCGGTAGAGGGCTCCACCTACACCGATACAGGCAACATAATTTACAAATACAAGCCTGTTTCGCTTATGAGTGGAGTAGAGAAGATTTTACTACTTTAATTGCCATGCCCACTTTATGCCTGATGTTCCCATGTCACCCTCTTTGTATAGGTAACCACATTAGATCCTTTATTTTAAAATGAATGTAAGCAATGTTATTTCGTCAAGGCAGACAATCACCGATAAAACTGTTTGTTCGAGGATTAAAGTTTATAATCCTTGCGAGCATTAAACCCAAAACAATCTCAGTACTTAGGTATCAGCTATTAAGGTAAAAGAAATAGATAAAATCATTTAAGTACTTTATTATTGTTCCAGACATCGTTCATGTATGTACTTACTGCTTAAAAGGCTTTACTCCAATAAAGCTTTTAAAACAAAGCAACAACAAATAAATAGACCATATAAAAATTCAAACATCTGTATTTCAATGATAATTCATATCAATGATTTAGTCGAAAACAAAATTTTAACAAAGTATTGCGTAAGTAAAGTTTAGAATTGATTGGATAAAGCCACCGGATCACAATAGTAGTATCTAATACTTAATATAATCAAAATTTACATTTGAAAAATATATAATAAAATTTGTGTATCTGTAAAGAATAACGATGAAACAAGTGTGCTTAGTGAACCTTTCTCCAATCAACGTTGTACGCAGGGTTACAGTCTAGCAGGTCTACTCTTAACATTATCAACACTTCATTCTTTCAGCAATATAAAAGTATTCAAACTGATCACAAAGTTATGGCAGCTCCATGGAACCCCATGCAACACTTAACATATGTACCAACACAGCTCGAGTCATACATGACATTGCATTCAGTTCAGCTCACAAGTGCCACGATCTAAGTAATACGAGCTACTAACCATCCACTTGCACCTCTCGGAATAATGTCACATATTGCCCTTATCTCTCTTATATAAATATTAGGTTGATTCAATCTTAATTAATGAGATGTGGTTTTCCATCGTTGGTAAAAATGCAAAAAAAACAATCACATAAACAGACTAGTATCCAAAAACGCCATCAAAAAATTACATAATTTCTATTTATTGCAAAGGATAGGCCACAAACTAAAGGCGATTACACGAATACATAAGCTCAATTTCGAAACGCGGATTTTATAAATCCAAAACATAAAATATTTCATCCCGTAATCGACTCAGACGTAAAGTACGTAGATCGGCGGAACTATCTCGGTATAATACGATTTTTATCGACCGTCGCCGGTCCCTCGGCGCAAGCGCCGCGCTCAACATAAACTCACGAATACTCTACATATCGATAAATCTACTCAGTCGTTTGTTTACTCATAAAAATATATCTTTAAAAGGCTCAAATAAATCCGCGGCAACCAGCGGAGCGGCGGAGCGGGGTATCGTTGCAGCTATCGGCTATCTATCACTGCGGGCAGGCTGGCGATGGGGGAGGAGGAGTGGGGGGGCTAGTGCACGGGCAGCGCGTCCCCGGCCGGGTGCAGGCGGCGACGCAGCAGCTCGGACTCTGCGGGCGGCGACAGGCCCAGCGCGCCGCAGCCCTCGCGCGCCGTCTGCGACTTGCTGCCGCGCAGCGCGCGCGCCGGCCGCTCCATGTACGAGTAGTTCATCGAGAAGTGCTGCTGGATCACCCGGTTCACTGCCATCGCCGACTCCGCGAAACTCGACAGGTTGCGCGCGGACATATTGCTGTACGACAAAACAAAACCATTCGTTATTACACTGTTACAATTACACGGTGTTCATAACCTATGTAACAGAAAGGTTAACAGAAATAAAAAGTATTTATAAAAGGTTTGCTCACCGTTTAATATTTAAAGAGGTTTGCAACTGCGGATGATGCGCGAGGGGGTCGGCCCGACGCAGCCACGGGTGAGACAGCACTCGCTCGGCACTGAGGCGGTGGGAAGCCTCGCGCACCAACAGCTGACGGATGAGATCCTTAGCTTCGCTGGATATATCCGACCACTCCTCCTCGGGGAACGTGTACCGCCCTTCCTGGATTGAATTGAAGAGCAGCTCCTGACAGGCGCGGCAGTTCTCTCCCCGCTCCCAGCCGCAGTCGGAGCCGCAGTCGGCCCGGAAGGGCGGGTAGCCACACAACAAGATGTACGCGATCACTCCGAGCGACCACAGGTCACATCGTTTGTCGTAGTGATTCGCAGCTGAGCCCGCAAATAGGGACACCACTTCTGGTGCCATGAATTCCGCGCTGCCCACCTGCAACAAACAAAATACAAGTTTAGCTTCATGGTTAACATTAAAAACAAGTCAAAGGATTTGATAAAATTTGAACATAACAAATACTTGGGACTTCTAACTATAGGCCAATACAATAAAAGAACTCTCAAGATACCAATACCAAAACACCATTAAGAGTCCACCAGCAAAATTATTCATTATTCAGGACTAAGACAAATCGCTACAGTTACCAGCAAATACATATTTGAAGGACTAATCTACCTAACTGCATACTGCTATTGAGAATTTTTCATACCTAGACAATTTAGACTCGGTATAGAACTAACATTGAGTCAAGAATAATGCATGTGCAACATTGTACCACTTAACATTGAGATTTATTGCTTTTGCGTTGTATGTATATTGTTTTTGTTTTGTTCTACAGTTTCCTTATAAGAAGAAAAGTTCTCAAACCCTTTTGTAATACTAATAAGGAACAACTAACAGTCCTTAATTTTCCTTCATTCATAACTGACAAGCGTTTATTCGCATCGTCTTGAAGAGGTATTCCTTTTGTATGAACTAATAAGTCGTAATTCATTTTAATATTTTTGTTATAGAATGTTAAACAAATTTGCTGTCACGTGGCTATTGATAATTTGACAATGACGTGCAGATGTTAGGGTCAGGTCATTGTTACGATTTAATCGGTTGTTATTTCATTTGATGCGAAACGAGGTGCCATTGACACAAGTACTGTAATAACACCTTCTGTTATGCCTACAGGGATGATTCATAGATATATTTTGTAAACGTACACACTAGACGTTTAATCTTTAAATTCTCCACCACTATCGGATTATTATTTTGGTAAACAACAACAATGATAGGCAGTAGATTGTTTTCGAATAAGCAATTGCATATTGGATTAGTATTATCTCCTTCACTTTCTACTTTCCTCATTATATCCGGGCGTTACTCACTACTCATTAGATATAATTATTGATCATTGAACGTTATTAATGTATTTCCCACACATAAAACAGTCATGAACGCATAAAACCCCTTTATAAACTCAATAAATACGAAGGAATTACACAAATCTTTATAAAAGTACTTAATGCTTTATCAATTTGCACTGGTCAAAAACATATTTTTTGCAGATATACTCGTAAAAGTGTTTTATCGCAGAACGTTTCCATTATTTATCATGTTTTAGCTATTAATTTATCAGTACGAGCTAAGTTGAAAACAAAGAAATACGAAGCGTCAGAGATAGGAAAATGGCTGTAGATGATAGAACTGAAATTAATTATTGGTAATAAATTAATATCAGCATATCGTAGATACACAATGCAGCAATGTCGAAACTGCTGATTGAGAGAAATAACAAGCGATAAACTTTGAAAACGTGACTGAAGTCAGCAAATCATGTGATACGAGTAGAGTTAATGCTGAACAGTCCACTTTACTTGAGAAGAGTTCACACAACATTTATTTACAAGAAATCTTAAAATCACATAATTCAAGGTAAAGAAAGGATTACAACCCGCATGAGCCTAAGCGATTACGTATCTAGAGAAGGCCAGACACTAATCCAAAACTGAATCAGTATTACTTTGTTCGTTCCTCCGATATCGAAAGGATTTAAATAAGTCCAATAACATTCGATAATTCTGTTTCTTTTGAATTTTCATGACATTTAACAGTAAACTTTCTTATAGCAGGGTCCCACAAGGTTCTATATTAGGTCCATCTAATTAATAGTGATAATTTAAAAAGAAACTCACTGGCGTCATAAGCTGCGGGGTCGCCAGCGGGCTTGCGAGGCTTGAAGTGAAACTTATTCCACTTCCAAGATCGAAGTCGCATATCTTCACTGGGCATAATCTATCACGGTGAACGCATAATATGTTCTCCGGCTTGAGATCGCGGTGTGCGACACCTTTACCATGGAGGAAATGTAAAGCGTTCGCTATCTCACGCACGATCTCTGCCGCTTGCGGCTCTGAGAAATAGTGGTGCTCCTGTATGCGAGACAGGAGCTGACCGCCGTTGATCTGAAACAATCGAAGATAGATGATTGTAGCAACACAATGGTACTCAACAAATACACAGAGCACATACTTTACACAACACTAACGAAGGTGATACCTGTACGATAAGAAAGGGCAAACATTGAGAGAGGGATATTCTACTCGAGATTAATTCGTTCGAGAAGGAATTATTAATTTACGTAGTTGTTTTTTATAAAAATAATAAAGATGAATAAACATCAGAATACAGAGCAAATCTTGGACAGTGTGAGGTATCTGAAAAGTATAAGGTTCTATGCATATCAAACGAGAGATAACCTTAGATCACTTAACATTGCCAATTAGATATTTTTAGACATAAACTCAAAATAAGTGTGGTTCAGGAGTTCATCGTAGTTGGTACAGGAACAGACATAACAAGATAACAGCTGTAAACAGAGCCATATCAGATATCGCGCTCGCAGCTAGCTACATTATTTGCGAGCCGACCACCAATTAGGAAATGAAATTGTTACCACGTGAACCCAATTATTACGTAACTGAATGAACCACAGTAAATATAGAAAGAAATCGGGTTAATTGTAATCTAAGCATATATGGATTTTTTAATTATTAATGATAAACATTTTTAAGGACACAAGGATTTCTAGTATCCTTCATAATTACGTAAGATCCCTTGAAATTCCTTCGAGGAGTTCAGATAAGTAACAGTGGGAACTATTTGAAAAAATAGTCACACGGGAAAACTATAGAAATAAGGCCCTGCCACCATTAAAATGTTTTATTGCCAGGGAACGTATAGTGCATCGTACGAACTCTGGTTGTTATCTGTCTGCAGTACATGTATTCGCACTTTCCTGTCTGTCCTTTAATAGTTTCACACAATATACATAATTGCAGTGCGACGGCGATAACTAAATGTATAAATATTTTTTTACACAAAACTTCATATCGGAACATTCCGTAGGTACCTACATTTAATTGCAAATATTCCACATATGGAACAACAGTATGTTTGAATATCATTGTTGAAATAAAACCACATGTGTTGGTTGAGTCATTGTGATATGTGCTACATTATTCACGACTACAATTGTTATAGCGAAAACTTAGGAAAATATCTAACGTTTTAGGTTAATATTATTCGTATTTTTGAATAAACAAAGACTACTTATATTCGTTAGATAGATAAGTAACAAATATACTAGCGCAAAATAATATTATCTTTTTAAGAAAAGAAAAAGTATCATAAATTGGCAATTGTTCAATCATTGGATATATATAAATTTACATGTATAATTAATTTTATATCGAGACAACCTCCCACACGTCGTCTACTGCGATAGTATGAGTAATGAACTACTCGATGAAAAATATGAATTCCTTTAACATGTGTCACTTTTATTTATTTATTACATACAGACATTAACAACGTATTTATACTATTTTAATCGAAGTAAGACGCACATTTTCTTATTTTTGTTTTGTCAATAGCAAAGTAAGAAATTATCTCTTATTTAGGAGCAAACTTAAAGTAAATAAAGCTTTTACGATTGGATTCTTTCTGAATAAAAGTACGGTTTTACAAAAGTAGAAGAAACTGATTGCTTGAAGATTGGGTTAGCCAAAAAAGAACTCGATTTAGCGATAGAAAAATAAAACATGAAAAGAAATTTAACTTCAAACGAATTCTTATGAGAGAAATGGACATCAAAGTCTAAGAAAAATATTAAGTATAAGGGAAAAGGACAAATAGATGAAAGTGGGTTGTTTTTATAGGCGAGAGGATACTGAAAAATGACTGGGCGTAATACAAGTGAATATTGTTTGGAAATGCTGATACCTCAGTCTTTTAAATGAGCTTCATAGTGGTTTAATGGAATTAAAGAATCAACTGCTCACCTTCTCGAAGACAAGGTAGAACTTGTCTGTGTCCTCAAAGAATTCAATGAGCTGGATTATGTTTGGGTGTCCCTGGCAGTAGTGGAAAGTCTCCACCTCACGGAACACCCTGGCGCGGGCGTGCCCCGGCACTTTGTCGATGATCTTCACAGCGAACTCCTGGCCCGTGTAGATGTTCACGCACGTTTGTACCGAAGCATACGCGCCCTCGCCTAAAACCTCCCCTGTAAGCTTGTAGAGGTCTGTGAACAAAGAGATATACATTAACAACGTAACTCAAACAATTGTATAAAATTCTGAATAGCAATACAGGTGCTAACCTAATAAATTTCAACGTTATCTCAAAATTACGGTACAAAAAGGTGAACTAATCTGCTAAGTTAATCAGAGAGAGATAAAGGCTGGCTCTCCAATATTTGCTAGAGCTCACCTTGGAAACATGACGTGACAACGGAGCTCCCTGAACGCTTCTTTCTGCGGCGCTTCCTGCGCGCCTCTTCTTTGCGTCGCTGCAAATCTTCACTGTCGGGTATGGGGACGGGAGCTGACGGCTCGTTGCCACGGGGGCTCTCGTCCGATTCGCGCTCACTGCCCGACTGGCTACTGCAGCGGCCTACACCTGCAGACAAATCAAAATACCAATTTAGATCTGACAGCTCTCTTCATTACCATCGGCCACCGTGCCAATTTTGTCTAACTACACTAGCACATCATACACTCTCATATCTGTCCGTTACACGTACCTAGCCATTTCTCTTGTCTTTACAACTGGCACAGCCAAACTATGAAATTAACTGTACGGAATTCAGTGTTCGGTTCTCTCTCAATTACTTATACCTACATTGTAGTCACTAGGTGTGCCTAATAGCAGTTTTTGTTAACAGTTCTTATCGCAATTTTTTTCAGGCAACTTTTTTTATCAGTCATTTTTTCTTGTAGTGAGTCCGTTTCACATATTTTTTATTAGCTCATTGAAAAAAAACTTCAGGTGACACAGTTATACATATAAAATGTAAGAATTATTTAGTTTTTGTGAGCACAGTTGTCGCTTTAGTGTCGCCTCCCACAAAGCTACAAGTGAACACTATGAGAATTGTTTCGTTTCGTCGATGACTGCATTGGCGAGTTATGGCGACATCCCTTGTTTAATGTATGAACAACGCGGAACGTTACGTAGATAGGCTGTTACCACAACAACTGAGCCTGCACGTCGTCACAGGGACGACTCTCTCTTTGCTTTTGTGCCAGCTATTGTTATAAACGATGACGTTAAATCACTGCATATTTTAAATGGTATTTTAGGGACCAAATCTGAATACAAAATTTATGATAATATCAGTCGGATCATCAAAGAGTCAAAACAATCCCGGAACAGTCTTGACTATCAGGGCAAATGTGACGGCTGTCATCGATAATACAATTCTGACGTGAGACGTGACTGTGCAAGCTGAGCTGGCAAACAAAGCCGGTTCAACGACCTACATGGCCGCACCCAGCGCTGCGTACGCGCGCCCACGTTACGCGATCACTCGGCCTCTTGCCGTAAAACTAGAGAAGTTGCATCTACTACAAGAAACGACCCACTACTCCAACCAACTTCAACAAAACAACCAACAAAGCTCATAAACACGATATTGCCTTACTTTGGTACTTTATACTTTGTGATTGACGGTAACGATAAAACTCTTTTTGGGTATAAAGCCTTTGTTCAGCTAAGAAAAGATTTATTTTGTTCAGAACTAAAAAAATCGGTATTCAGTACCAAACATATGTATAGTACAGTGTTCATTTTACAGACCCGTAACGAAGAACATTAAACGGCTGAGGAATGAGAATCAATCTTTGCGTACGTGATCAGTATTAGTGTTTGCTTGTTTCCATCTTCCTTGTTTGACTGAAGCTTTAATTAATTTGAATGCACGACCGCTCGAATAATGCGTTTGCTTTGCGTGTTTATTCAGTTCATTCGTCATAATGAATGATAAAAATGAAACTTAGGAATTAATTATTGCACGCGATGACCTCAGCTTGGGCCGCACGACAACAAGCCGAATGCGCAATAGCCGTGTAGCTCGTACGAGTATAACAATCGAGCCCGAGGCACGCCCACGCATACAATCACCCGTTTCGACATAGAAACTTCCTGTTTAAATACTGAATTGTTCTAAATATTCACAGGAATAAGCGTACAAAGCAACTGTTCTGCGTCCGTTCATAAATATTGCTAAACAAAACTTTGTATGTATACAAACAGCACGCCACGCACCACAACAAGGAAACCTTCCCATGCTAAAATCGAGAGTGAGTGAGTCATCAGCTGATTCGTACTAGAACCCAAATACAAAGAGACATAATAACGCTGCCCACGGTTTACCTTGATAACCAAAATATAAAAATAAAATCCAAATATAACTAACACAAACCGTTTCTCTTAGAGAGGCATCGAAACCCAAAATGAATTAGTTATGTCCGCAAACCGCTACCGAAACGGATGCTTAATGTAAAAGGCAACTGAGTCGCAATCAATGGAATAGATGTTACGGATTTAATTTCCGATTGCCACAAAGTAATTGTAAACTTGTCTTATAGTATCGCATGTTCGTCGCGTGACAAGCTGGCTCGCGCACCACCACGTGGCAAAGCACTTGCCTTGCAGCGTGGCTCATACGTTACGTAAAACAGTAACCGCACCCTCGCAATTACAACTAAATACTGTAAACACTGCTCGGACATCCTAAACATCGGAACCCTTTTCGGAATTGCCTTACCAAGTACAGCACTACCCTGTTTACTCGTGGTTGAGGTGACACAATGGTTGACCCAAATAATAAACAAAAGGCTATCAAAATTGTCAAAACGATTGTATTGTCAACTTTGTTCAAGAATGGCATAAATTTGATTATTTAAATATCTTGGAACCTTCGCAAAGAAACTCAATTATTACTGACTCATTATAAATACAAAACAGTGTTCCGCAAATTAACTCAATAATCAACTAATCATGCAAATCGATGGATATGTATGCATGCGTATAGCATTAATTTATTGGACTAATTACAAATCGCTGGTAATTGTAGCAGAAACTTTAGAATACCAATTTGTTGCATCATCTATCATATTATTTCTCTCTTTCTAAATTATATTTAAAATATCCTGAAGAAGTCTAGTACAAAATCGTCACCACGGCAACTGCCCTCAGCTGTTAGTTTCTACTTTCTAATCTGGTAGGCTGGCTTAAACGCTTGGCCACGAATACGCTCTCTAGTTGCCGACCGTAGGCCTATTATACTTTTGTTTCATACCCTTAAGCGATTCAAAATCGTTGCTTTCTAATCGCAACAAACAACGAATGCATTGTGAGAGATGCAATCTGCCTTTAACACGCAAACATTGATAGGCAATGTTAAGAACATGTATGATCATGATTTGAGTTTGATTCAAAGAGGCGCTGAACATGAACTACAGTTACTGTTCTGAAAAACCACAACCGTAAATGCATTTTCTAAATCAGTCAGGCAATCTGTCATAATCATTATAATCAGAGATCAAAGTCGACGGTTAGATGGTGATGCATAAACTGCCAACTCGGCCTGGCACTGCAACCGAACGTAGCGAGATATTATCTAGGTGAAACTTCAACTAGGGCGTTTCAATGAGCTGTACCTATATACTGCAGTACGTAACAAACCACTTTCACTCACCACTGATTTTACCCCGTCTTATGATAACGCATATTGATATAACCAATGAAGCATTCATTTATAAGACGGTAACTTCAATTTTTGATGGTGACGACCTCTCAGAGCTGTTCATAACAAGATGTAAACAAAATCGAAAAAATGTATATCTACCTACCTAGTTGACCACGATCATCATTTTGAATATAAGGATATTTATGCGATACGAATGAATGTCGCGATCGATATGAAATGGAAAAAGTAAGTTGGTACAAATTTGTTTCATGACAGTGTTGCTGCGTAGAGAGATATGCAACTGCATATCGATTCGCAAAAGGAGTAAGGGGGGAATGCACGCGAGGTGAAGGGAGCTGAGTTTGATATTACACCGGAACAAGCGTGAAGTCCGTCACGGTCAAGGTTACTCTGCTTTACTCAGTCCACGGACACGATTGATTGATTCCAATCAAATGTTAATGAAAATTTGCAACTACCGATTGTTGATCGATTTATCTCTAACTATAATCAGTACTAAACGTAGCTTGAAAAAGAAACTACAATCAACACCTGAAACTTTTATCAGTTTCTTGCAAAATTTGTTATAAAACTGTCTTGCAAAATTTAATTAACTCTGCAAAGAAGAATACAACGTTTGGAATAACAGGTTTAGTAAATCTGCATTGAAAACTACGGATGTTGTATCTGTTACAGTACAAGAAAATTCTCAAGAAAGCATTATTATATAAATTCAGTAATACTAGTGCGCAGTTTTGTTTTAGTAGGTGACCTTGGCCGTGAACGCCGTGGGGCGACGCGCTCCAGCGGCCATGTTGAATTGGAACCGTGGAGAGTAATGAAACTGCATGAAATTATTAACGCATTCTTGCCAATTTGATTTTTAAACAGTGCACCCATAACAATCAATAAAAGTGTGATATGAAGAGGCGAGGAGAATTAGAAATGTGCCATACAACACAAACATTATATACAAATAGCGAATGACACGCATTCCAAAGATATATTACATTTCATTTGTGTCAAATTATGAAAAATATTTTTAGCTAAGTAATTAAAATTTAAGCGAACTTATCAACTACCTACCTACAGTAACGAAACAGAAATCAAAAGAAAATGTCAACTTAGCAACAGTCGAAGCATTTACAAACAATTAAATCGGAACAGGAAATATTTTGATTATATCATTCACGTTAGCTGTAATGAAACTACCTGAATGTGTTCCTGACCAAAATCATAAACATTATAACGACTCGAATTCAGTAGATGTTGCGAAATTGCAGATTGTGAAATAGTGTGCTGGCTGACCGGTCAACGCTCGCTCCGTTAACGTGAACTTTGGCATTTTGTTGTACCATAATACGTGCACTACGGGTTTTTTAGTCCAAAACTAATTTTAAACATCGAACTAAGATATTTATGAACCCCAACAATATTTTCAAAGTGAGTTTTCCACTGTAAAAATATTATACTGCACATACTGCACTAAACTGCAATAACAATTACCTTCACGTCACTAGGCGGTCATAAAATTCTAAGTTTAAATAGCAATGCATTGACTGTGGTCAGTATTTTGCAGTACATCGATAAATTAATAACTGCAACACCTTCATGAAAACAATTAAGAATAAATCAGTAATAATTTATAAAATTAATGGCAAAATGAAAATTGGTAATGGCCGTAAACTTTATGATAATTATCGGGAAAACGAACAGCTGATTGCAGAATCAAAACAAATTAATCAAAAGGCCAAATTTATTAAAGGTGTGATATAGGTACTGGGCGTACCGGCACATGACGCAATCGGTGATATAAAGTATACAATTGATCATGATGAAGCGTTTATGAATGATAATGCTGAACAAAATAATGAAACGCAAAGAAATACATGTAAACATTAATGAGTCATTTACCAGTATGATTTTAATAACAGGAACCTCTTACTTTTTGATTTTTATGCGGTTGACGAATTTTGATAAAAACACAATTTTCAGAACTTTCAGAACTTCGAATCGGTGAAACTGAAGAGGATTCCTATTTGATTCTAATAAATAATTTCACGTTTAAGGCTGTACATGACTAAGCTAACTATAAAGTAGCTTGGTAATGGTTGCTCATTTTAAAACACAAAGAATTTAAAAACAATAACAGTAATAATATGCAAAATCAACTACGCAGTACGAAGAAAAGCCGGTCAGGCAGATGTTTGAAAATAAAGTGTGTGACTTGCGCTAAATGAGCACCCATCGCAATGAGTTATGCAGAAGTCAACTTACCGCTATCTACACTCTCTTCTGAAACCTTCTTCACCATCCTGATTGCTTGATGCGTTGATACAGCGATATTGAGAATTATAACGAGTAGGTGTACTACTCTTGAAAAGCCGCTTTCAAACTTGTGGCGGCCGCCTTCTCGACGTGAAATCGGAACGGCGTTAAAGTTTAATATAGAAAATAAACGCCAAAATAAAAATTATAAAGCACCACGGTCGAGAAGGATTTACGGAAAATGTGCCGGAAGGTAATAAACAAACACTGCTAGAAGGCGGAATGAAAAAAACTGCTGGTGTCGTTAGCGATCCATCCTACACACGCCCGCCCGTCCGATGTTCTTAAATCCAACTGAAGACTCGTTCTTACAGCCGGCTCAAGCCCGGCGCGCACATACACAATCCCCCCTCGCCCCTCCACATTCCCCCAATCTCCGTCGTTTGCAAAGCTGTGTTTATTGTGGCCTCTCTCTTCTGCGCGCATGCGTGCTCACTCGCACTGCTGACGTGTTTATATTTTTTGTCGTTCATTTTTTCTCCACGTCGCTCGTCGTCGTAACTATCAATATATAATATGCAATGTACATATGATTATATCATGCCATCCGAGTATATATAATGCCAGATGTTACTTTTAAAAGAAACAAAACCTTTGGAACCGCTTTATCCCATGCAGATATTATGCTGGCAGGTAGTCGTGAAAATCGTCTTCAAGTAATATTCTTATAAGAATACGGAAAGTAGGAAAATTCATTCAGCATGTTCTGGCATATTAAACGACTAATACGAAATATGTTTACCTATATAATGTTATCCATGTAAATATTAAGATTTCCAATTATATACTTACAAGAGTAGCTTATTACAGTAAATATAAAATCTGGTAAGAACATGCAGTTTTAACTTCTCTATTAACGATAACAAAAATTATTGCATCGGTAATCATTTGAAAATGAGACAATTTAGCTCTTGTTTCATCATCATTACCTTGATCATCAACCCGTCGGCTACGTTATCATCAAGCTGTGCTAACTTCTCATTCTGAATGAAAGAATCAACAAAAACATTCGAACACGTTTATTACATCACCTTTGAAATAAAATCTAAAGCTTTTCGAAAACCGAATATATTTTTTCTTTGGTCTTATTTTTAAACGTTGTTATGCAACAGGGATTCCTTTGTCTTCCTAACCCTCCCATGGATGACCTTCACAGGGCATTTGTTGACAAACAAGATACGGGGAACAAGCGCAGAACGCAAAACGCACGTGGTACGGGCCAACCGGTCCAACCGGCAACCGGCGCCGCCATGTTTGTTTGTTGTCACGCCACGTCTCTGTCCCCCTCTAACATAGAGCACTTCTCTTTCCCATTCGCCGTCTCTGTTCGCACAGCCTTCTCGCTCACTGGCCTACGTGACCGACAATAACAATAACATAACCCTAACAGATAGTACTGCAAGTCAATAAAGAATTACCGCATATATAATATGGCTTCTCTTTAATTTAGTAGTATTATAATCAACTTATTGCAATGCAGCATCGTTTTAGGCATTTTAGCATTCTAATTTCATCCAAGTATGAATAGAACAATCAGATGTTCTTAAAAACAGTGAACTGTAAACAAAATAGACAGCAGAATAGATGATACAATGATATCGCCTCATGTGGGTACATAGACGTTATATTATCTTAAAAAACATCGTCAGATGATCTAATTTGGGCAACCAACAATCTACGCAACTTAGTGGCATGATGTGGTTTGAGTAATGATGTCAATATTTTCAAAGTCGGGTAAGCTGTTCTTAGATTACCGTTTGGCAGGTAATATGATTAAGTGTAATGTCTAATTGAAGCCAAAAGTCTGCAATTTCGCGTAATTCGTTGCGTAAAGGATATCTGTATATTTTAGGTCAATTTGTGGGGTTTCCTATGTCCGGTTTAAGGTGTAGCGTAATTTCTAAGAATTTACGCAAGGGTATACAAAGCAACGGTTTCGTATTCATAAAAAATTGTTAACACTGGGGTGAGAGAAACGTCAGTCGCTTTATAGATGTGTAGAGGTGGGGTGGGACAACTGAATCCTACTGCGCAGTAGTAACCCGGGGATCCCTTTCTTTGTTTTGTTTTGGTTTAAGCTAGCGACTCAGTACAAAGGCCTATATTGAGAAAAAAACGTCGGGTGGAGTACACCCGACGTTTTTTTCACAGGTAATTTACAGATTTATTTACGGTTAGTAATTTCAAATTGACTTAATTGGACTATTTTGAGACCATAAGTATTTGATACTATAAAAACTGCTAAGCTAACCTGTTTTTAAAACCTTCCAAATGATAGCGTTAATATCTGCATCTTCATCCATCTCAAAGGTAATCTGCAACAAAAGGAATAGCTTGTTTAAAAACTTTGAAGTCTTTGTGTTTACATTGTGGTTTGCGTATACAAGCTTGCGGTGAGCTTCTAGTTTTACCCACACTTACTTAAATAATTCGATTCTAAAACGCAATTACATAACCGTGTGGCAAGCACTCTTCCCTGAAGCTCGTTTATAGCTAGTTGTAAATCTATTCATCCAAAATTTATTTGATGGCCCCTCATCCAGCTGTTGCAACGTATATTGAACTTACAGCGGAAAGAAATAAGGTCTCATTTTAAACAATCCATAATTTAAAGGCATTAAAATCTCTAGTTCATAGATCAGCAAGGACTGCAGAAGGGTATTCCCGAGATCAATTTTTTGCTTTTTTGTGTTGAATCTTTGTGTAAGGTTGAATTCAACATTTGATCTGATCACGTACGCCAGAGAATCAGCCACACCTGACATCGGGACAATGAAATGTACCAAAAAAACCCTACTTTACGAAATCCGTAAGGTGGGTATAAAGATTATATTATTATTACACACAAAGACGTATCAGGCTTGGCTAAAATGATAAAATACGACGATGTTATGATACTCGAAACGTAAACACAAAAAACATAATTATACGTCCGTCTAAAATTGTGAGAATTGATCGTAATTTTCTTAGAAAGATGAGACGATACCAGCAAATAATTTACGTAATCCGCGTATTCATACTTAGCGAATGTACTCTAATATATTAAAACAAATAGAAGACGATCCAAATATTTACTTTTAACTAAGTGACTCTTAGAAATAGATATACATAGATACACACTGACATATTTTTACAGGTATTATAGATCCAGTTTAGAGCGTATGGCGCATATTGAGATTTGATACTATGGGACACTTAATGGAGTTCTTTTCAAAGACAAAAGTGCAACACCGGGTTATGTCATTGTTATGGCTTATAGAATTTTAATAAGGGGACCATGAATAAGTCATATTGAGTAATCAGAAAAAGCTGTCACCGACCGAAATAGATTTCTGTACGGAGAAGCTACATGTAATATAGTTCGAAGAGGTCGTGTGGATGGTGAAAGAAATTACAGATTTTTGAATAACTTAAATTTTTTTTTTTCAAAAATGATGATTGAAACGTCGTTTGAATAAAAATGTTTCAAATGCATGACAAGTATGTACGCATTGTATTTTTCACATAGTGCTAAGAATTTCTAAACATAACAATAGACAACAGAAACGCATTAAACGTTCTTTTATGATTTTACTCATTACACGACGGGTACAGTGGCCATAATGAAAGTTGGAACGCACCGTGAAAATATTCTAAAACAAACATAATTGCCGAAGCAATATAATAATTGTGGAAAGCATAGGTCAGTATTTGAGTCCGTCTTAATAATTAAAATACATGGTAACTTATTACTAATTATAAAATATTTATTTATATTAAATATTCGATCAATAAAAACTAGTCAATGTATTTGATGGAATTTTGACACCAAAAAACCATACCAAAACCGACTCTTCCCTTCGGTCCACTCAGGGAATAACACGTCACATTTTCAAAACCGTTGGTATTTTACAACTGTGACGTGTAACGTTTGCATTGGGGGTAAAAAAGATAATTATCTAAAACATCATCAAAGTGAATCTTATTTCCGAGGGCATAAAGTTAAAATTTGGACGGCAGGCCACCTTTGCTTGGGTACCATACAAACTCCAGTTACGGGTTAATCAAAGGATTTGATTGTTCGGGTTTACTTTCCCAAAAATCTTGTATTGGAATGATTGAATGTCCTTTGTATTATTTTACATCTTAAAACTAAACCAAAATCGGCTCATCCCATCGGTCCACTCAGGGAGTTACACGTCAGACATTTGAAACCGGTGGTGTTTCAAGTGTGACGTGTAATTTTCGTATTGGGGGTAAAAAATAGCTACCTGAAACACTATCGAATGGAACCTTATACCGATGATCTAAAGTTAAAATTCGGACAGCGGGTTACCTTGCAACGTAAACGTTTACAAACTTCAGTCACGGGTTAGTCAAATGGTTTGATTGTTCGGGTTTACTTTTCCAAAAATGTTCTATTGAAGTGATTGAATGTCCTTTGTATAATTTTATATCTAAAAACTAGCCCAAAATCGGCTCATCCCAACGGTCCATTCAGGGAGTAACACGTCACACATTTGGAACCGGTGGTGTTTTGAAAGTGTGACGTGTAATGTTCGTATTGGGGGTAAAAAAAATAACTACCTGAAACACCATAGAAGTGATCCTTATTTTTGATAACATAAGGTTAAAATTTGGACAAGAGGTAATTTGTAGTGTTAACTTTTACGGATACAAATACAACGGGGTTAGTCAAGATTTTGTTTTCATAGCCGAATTTTGCAGTTTCAAACTTTTTTCCTAGATTGTAAAATCTCAAAGGAGTGTGATTTCATTAATTTTATATTTTAGTATATATACTTAATAGAAAATGTTTGGACAAAAAGTTCTAAAGTCTGCACAGACAAAACTGTTGTCAGAAATCTAGTTTGATGAAGGAATAGGCAATATTTTGTGAAGGGTTTTTACCGCCAGCCAATGTATTTATTATACGGTCACCCAAACCAAGGTTACGGAAAATATATTTGCAATGCTGATGGGGACTTTTTGCGCTGTTCTCTTGTGCTGTGATGTTTAATACATGTGAGGCTCGGACCGGTGAAGTGTCGATCACCTCACTACCAGAGTATGTACATCTGAATATCTTTAGACTTTCATGATCCTAGCCACTGTATCTTAATATAGCTGTTATCACAAAGTAAACATCCCACTGGATTCCAGGAGACGCCACTTTGTTAGAGGAAAATATTGTAGCTACAAAGTATTTGTAATGCAATATTGGCTTTAAAGATTTCTGCAGAAGCAAACCCTGTTATAACATCCTATAAACGCTTAATATAAGAAACAATTTTATTATAAACATC